AGGAAATGATAATCTTAATGCATACTCCGTAATCGTATTGTAAGAACGTATACTGTGCCCCATAAAAGCGTCGATACCATTACCTTAATTTTATAAATAATGTTTTATTATATTCTATGTACGTTAGTCCTTAAGGTATGTGAAATCACAGGGGGATGAGACTTGTCAACTTATGTATCAGAGTGATGGGCGCAGTGACAGTGCCTCTAAGATCTTTGCAATTGAAAACTCTGAGTGGCACTGCAACTGTTATGGATAGGCGTGTCACTTACCACCAGGCGCATGACTAATTAGTCCCGCAACTTGTAAAAAAAATACAGTTAATGTACAGCCTGAAACAGAAACGTCACAATGAAACATTCAAACGCTTCTGAATAACAATTAGTATGAATAGTTTGTTTTGACTTTTCATTGCTAAAAACATAGCGTTTGTAACGCCAAAAACTTGCGTGCAGGTGTATCAATCGATTGGTTTTGCTCGCCGGAGTCAAGGCCGGCGGCGCCCGCGCAGCTTACACCAACGCATGACGTTATTGCTCGAACCGGAACTTGTACAGTTTGGATAGTTATAATAGTACATAAATTAGTAACCCTGGGACAATAATGTCACATGTGATCATATGTCAAAAGTGGTTCATCCATAAAGTCACAAAAATAATACCCATTACATGAAACCATCATCACTAACTCATTTATATGTCCCACTGCACGGGTGGAAGGGGAGATCCTCCACCTCACTCCAGGGCATAATCTACCTTGGTACACTAGGAAGTGTCTAAATAGACTGCGGAACCAAGTCGGCCAAAGCAAGGAGAGCATGCACAGGTGGGGTTATAGCTCGGAGAGAGCATGTTTTTTAGGTGTCTCTCCCCAGACCATGGTACATCTCTTACCCCGCTCTGCGATTCTCTACACCTGCACACACGAGGACCTATGCAACGCCGCTGATAATGCTGTGTCAGTCGCTGAGTACTGATTCTCACAAATGTGAACGTCAGAATTGACACGCGAAGAAAAACTGCACGGGTGTCCTGTTAGGCCTTAGATCATGGCTCGTCACGCTGGCGGGTAAGTGACACGCCTGTCCATAACGCTGTTCCACTCAGAGCTTTATATAGCAAAGATCTGAATGGCAACTCCACTGCACTCGTCATCGTCACCCTGAATCGTAAAATGACAAGTCCCACATGCCTGTACTTTCACCAGCAGCACCCGTACCCTTCAAAACTGGAACGCAGTAGGTAAGGCTTACATTAATGCTAAATAATCACATGATTTTAATAAGTAATGCGGAAGTAGACAGCTTCTATGATCTAATGCAAAAAAAATCGCTTATAATTCGTGTCAGAAGTAGCCACACAGCGTCCTAAAAATTACTGCAGGCAGATTTGATTGTCCAATTCTAAAGTGCTGGGTTGGGCAAATCAATCTGTTTTTATATGTATTAAATAAATTAAAATATATATAAACCTATTCTAACTGACAATATTACTAACAAATTATATGGGTCTATGCCTGAAATAAATAATTCTATTCTATTCTTAATTCTATTACTGCTTGGCAACAGAAATGGGGTTGGGGACTTCAAACTCTCCGAAGGTTGTCAACCTTCTTAGACATGCATTCACCACGATGTTTTTCTTCACCGAAAAGCTCATTTCAAAATCAAAAACTTACCAGCACTATTGCTCATATTACTCTTTGGAGGCAGAACTAAGAGATATAAAAACTAATGCAGTGATCTCGAAAATACTTTCACAGTAAATAGCTTAATTCACCCGAAGCACCCTGAATCCGAATCTACCTCCGCCATCCGCCACCACTGAAGATACAGAGACAATATAATAATATACTCGTTTAAACGATTCTCTCAAAAGATCATAGTGTTGTAACGTGTTAAGATCAAAATTATAAGCGGAGGTGGGTTGCACAATGTTATGTGAGCAAAACACACTGCGTCAGGTTTGATTTAAAGATTACTTATGTTGCGTTAACCGGCAGTTAAACAGCAGGTGTTAACTTTTTGTGTTATTCTTAGAACTTATATGAATTACGTTTAAAAACGTCAAATCATGAAGTGTATTTTTTATTTACTTAATATTATGACATTTTTACTACTATTCTACATATTGTTTATAAAAATACTCTACTAGCTTTTTATTATTATTTACATACAGATCAAATGAACACAAAGAAAATTCCTTCGAACTGACGCTATTTAGCCGGTTAAGCCTTACATAAAGATATGTAGCAAGAACACAGAGAAATTTCTTTTTCTTAATGATACCAAGTTTCGGAACAAGCATATCGGGTGCCTGGTGGTAGTGATACTTGTCTATAATAGTTGCAGTGCTACTCAGAGCTTTAAACCGCAAAGATCTAAGTGGCACTAACACTGTGGTAAATTTTAAATTAAATTTCGGGCTGTTTCCTCATGCTCCTGAGTGCTCCTACTGGTAGGAGCAAGAGGACTAATTTGTCCTTATGCATCTATTGGTAGGACCAAAAGGATAAATATGTTCTCGTGCTCCTACTAATGTGCTGTCACCTATATTTATATGTAACTGATATTGTAGTACTTGTATGTATGTTATCGATTCTCTAAGTTAATCAGTCACTTCAGTGAAAGCTGTTAACGTATTTCCGTGGTAGTGATCAGTTTAGCTCTTTCAGGTTGTTTCTGTAAGTACATTTAATACTATATTAATTTTAAAGAGCAACCCTTAGAGTTTCTTGATTATTCTTCTCAGGGGAATCTGCCTTACGATAGAGCGCAAAGTGATGATTTCAAGTGTAATTTTCTTCTTATCTATGCAATAAAGATATTTTTGACTTTTTTATTTGATATATTTTATTCTAGTTTAGCATAGTTATTAGATCACGTTACGGAGCATAAGGACACCAGTAGGAGCACCCCACATTCTTCCGTGGAGCGCCCAGTAGGAGCATGAGGAAACGGCCAAATTTCGCACATAAATTTCGAAAAACTAGTCGGAAGCCCGGATTCAAACCCACAGCCAAAAAGATTTTGGTTCACAATTTTTTTTCTTTATTTTTTATATAATAATAAGTGACGGGACGAACAAGTCCTGCCCCTGACGGGAAGGTACACGCCTGTCCATAACAGTTGCAGAACCACTCAGAGCTTTAAACCGCAAAGATCTGAGGGGCACTGCCACTGCGCCCGTCACCCTGAGACGCATTCCATGGTCTGTACCCTGAGACATAAGCTGACAAGTCCCATGTGCCTGTAATTTCACCAGCACCCTTACCCTTCAAAACTAGAACGCAGTAACGCTCATGCGAGGTGCAAACTTTCGCAAGCCAAATTCGCTGTTCCTCATGATTTTATAACCCCAGTCGAAAGTCTTCCCCCTGTGCACGAGTTGCAGTGGTTGGTATGGAAATCCCTGAATTATCTGAGATCACATGGTGTGAGATGTAGAGACAACATGGTGAAATGGGGATACCTACCGTCCACTAACTAAAAAGCGGCTAAGTGACAAAATATTTTTTTGAGACATAACCCACTTTTACAATATTGAAATTGTTTAATGATATTGCACCTATGCATCGTTAGGATGAGGTACTATAAGTCAAACACGTTAACCATTATAAATTTTATTGAATTCATATTCAATTATTTTTTAAGTGAAATTACTCCACTAGTTTGTTATAATTATTAATACAACGGTAGAACACTCAGAACAAAATACTTCGATCCGGCCTTACGTTACGACGTTTTAAATGTTCTTAAACGAGAATTTTGTGCTCTTTCATTTTCTATTTAATACCGATATTTGACCATTTGTCACTTAGCCACGTTTTAGTAAATGGACGGCAGATATATCAATCCTACTCAAAAACCATTGTGCCAGCGGATTCCCCCACAAAGTATATCTCACTTGCTATCATGCCCACTGTGTCCGACCTGCACTCGCGAAGGCCTGCTAAAGACAATTGATAGGGGCATAGCTACCTGGCTGCTTACTGGGTTAAAGAATTATAACACGTTGTCTACTGGTTTTTGAACTGACTCGACAAGAACCTTCCCAGGACGAAATCTTTCACAATGAGCTCTAATGCTACTAAATTAATGTGAACATTACTGCGTTCCCCTTTTGAAGGGTGCTGGTGAAATCTGAAGGTACACGGGACTTGTCAAGTTTTACGTCTCAGGGTGGCCGGCGCAATGGCAGTGGCCATATGATCTTTGCGATTGAAAACTCTGAAAGACGTTGCAACTATTTTGTTAAGCATGTCGCTTACCATCGTGCGTACGACTTGCTCATCCCGTTACTCGATATCATTTAAAAAATCCATGTTTAGTAGTAGATTTTTAAAGGAGCTTAATAGACTTCAGCAAAATGTAAGTTATTGTCATAAAAATATAACAGTAATTCATAATATAAATTCTTTTTACTAGGATATCAGACGAACAGAATGCACTCCAGAGAAATTAAGCGGAATACCTCGAAAAGTTAGTTTCCCCAGTAGGTCCTTCCGGGAATAGAACCTGGAACCTCCTCATTTAATGCCCAATGTACTTGACGTCATTCAAATTTTCAGTTCAAAAACAGACCGTCATGTAATGACTGTAGAGCTATAGCAAATTGTAGGGTTAACAAAATAATAATTATTAGGTACATAGGGTTCCATTTGACCTTTAATCGATTTTTTTAAGCAAATTATTAACGCCAATCAAATGACCCAATCTTGGATAAAACAAAAGAAACTTGTTATTATTAAAAAAAATGCTTACAAGGCCGATTTGGTATTCGAAAACTTGTTTTTTGTTGTGTACGTTTATTTGATAACTATGTGCTTTACTCCAAGTGCGTAATTCACTAAGGTAAAATTATTTACCTTTGTTTTTAATTTTTTACAGATCATTAGATCTGTAGAAAATTATTCACTTAAAACAAGATTAAACACCTTCTACAACAATTTAATAATAATCTACTTTTCAATAACGATAATGAATAAATAACTAAACTTACCTTTATAAAACTTATTTTAAAACAGCTAAAGGCTCAATGACTGCCCCACACATTAAAAATAAAGAAAAAACACACACTCGTCCTTTTCAACATGGACTTTTAAAACCACATTCCGTTGCACGAATGAAATTAAAAGTTCACATCCTTGGACTGGCCACACAGAAACATATGCTTTTGAAGTTTGAACTTTTTATAAAACAATTTTATAGTATTTATACACTGTTCTGGCAACTCCGGAAAATTCGGTATTCGCAACTTTCGATTGAGTTTTGTTTTAATTTGGAATGTTTTCGTTTTCGTTTATCTTCGTTTTGTCTCGCATGGCGGCCGCGCGATCGCCGATCGGTTGTTCACTGGCCGGCCAGTTGCGCTTACGCAGTGAGTGTTACCATTTTAGAATTTGATGTTTTAACAAAAATTTGATGATATAAATAACCAATACTGTCGTAATTCAACATTGTAGAATTGAAAAAACTCGATTTGAAAGAAAAAACATGCGTTTTATTGTGAATAAAGTGATTATTTTTATTTATACATAATATTTAGTTATCCTTAGAATAACAACGCATAGAAACCTAGTCCGCACACGCTAAGTGAGGCAAATTGAAGCGCGCCAAAAGGGCCTACACGAGCGGGCGGGCATTCAATGCTCAAGGTCAACTTGCACCGCGAACAGATCAAGAATTTTAGCTAAAAATGACGAAATGTGCGGTAAATGAGTGTAAAAATACGTCAGACAAACATAAAATAGATACTAACATCACATTCCACAAGGAAGTAACGCGTTTCAACTTGTATTTTTATATAAATATTCACTGAAACCGAAAATTAACCTACTACTAAAACTAGCCTACATGAATTTGATTTTTGCCTCACTTGTGGCAGTTCGTTTGATATGAAACTATCATTCTATGCGTTATTATTCTAAGTAGTTATCCATTTATAACCGAAAAACTATACATTGGTTTCATCCAGTATTTCGTTTTTAATTTTCGAATCGTGTTTTCTAATTTTATCTATTTCTGACTATTCAGTGTTATTGAATGCTTTGTCATATGTTTTTTTTCTAATATTTGCATTACTGCGTTCCGGTTTGAAAGGGTAAGGGTGCTGGTGAAATGACAGGCAGATGGACTTATCTTTACGGCTTAAAGTTCTGAGTGGCACTGCAAGAGTTATGAACAGGCGTGTAGCTTACCATCAGGCGCACAACTAGATCATACCGTCACTTGATATTATAAAAAAAATGTATACCATACAAAAATTCTATTCAAGTCACAGAAGGAAAATGCCTTGCGCCTGGTTTTAAGCGACACGCCTGTCCATAGCTGTTACCACAGTCGTACAATTTGAATGTCCCTTAAGCCGTCATAACATAAAATCATGTACCTGTAGAAAGTGCTCATATTCGTAGAATACGCTTTTGTTCATACAAAAGACATCAACGGGAGCGGGCAAACAATTTGTATTTGTGAAATTAATAGATTAAATTATATCTCAAAATGTTTGTAAATACCTGTTATGTAAACAGGTACAAAGGCGCAGTAACCATTTGGTGAAAAATAACTTAATAAAAACAATATAAAGTATCAAATATTAATATGACGCTATTCAAATGCTCTACGCCTCTTGATTGGTTATAATAAAAACGGTCCTTGTTTGGTTTTGGTCGAGTTTGCTGTCGTGGATTGTTAAAAAAATAATTTTCAAATATTGGTTGTGTTTTATTATTTTAAAACTCGTAGAAAAAGTATTGTATGCAATAATTACATAATTAGATGTTAAAATCTCGTACATACCTACTTAGGCTACTTGGTAAAGCCTCGTGGCCTAAACATGAGACTCGTGAAAACCTTCCTCATGCAACGATTGCATAAAATACTATTTTCATTCTAGTAAAAGAATAAAATACAATATCAGTGTAGCACATTTATTTTCAACCATAAAAAAGATTATTTTAAGATCTTAATCCGTGATTACTATTATGTCTTTACGAGAAAATTTGTTTAGATCGTTACTTATAGATAATTTGGAATCGAAAAATAAAATCGCCTTTTTTTGAAATTCAGTCTATTGTCTTACGACTGAATGACGTTGGAACTTTGTTATTATTTTGAGTCCGGTTGTTATATTTACGTGGAACGAATTCTGCAAAACATTTTAGTCGTCAAATTTAAAAAAATGGCAACACAGCCTTGAAGGCAGTATTATAGACATTGTTTGATCTCGAAGACTTTATTTTTTGTTATTGTATGTTATAGATTACAGAATATATAATAAAATACTATTTTAAAACAACGCCACGGAAAAATATTAGTAAATCTGCATCCCAGTAACAATATTACTGTAGATACACGGCATTCCGAAAACATTACAAATATTTACAAATCCGCTTAAATATACTTTTTTTGGTAGAAACGACCAATACTTAACAGTACGACGTAGATATGGTGAGTTTGATAAAGGGATTGAGTTCATAAGGTCAATAAATTCACTGGAACAAGAAGTTGGTAGCAAATTTATTTTTGCTTACTATTGCTATTTTTTTTGCTCAGGCGTTTCATAACACAGAGGAAGTTTTTGTGACGGAACGAAGAAGTCATGCGCCTGGTCGTAAGCGACACGCCTGTCCATAACTGCAGTGCTACTCAGAGCATTAAATTACAAAGGTCTGATTAGCAATGCCACTGCGTCTGTCACCCTGAGACATTACTTAACAAGTCCCATGTGCTTGTATAATACCTTATATGGTAAAGCTGCCGGTTTTCAAGTCAAAATAAAACGTGAACATAATATAAATAAATAAAATATCAACACAGATACAAATATTTGTCATAAATAAAGTAACTATTATTAACAATAGCTTAAAAAATCTTGTATACAGTGTATGGAGTCGTTTACCGCCGACTTATCTAAGCGATATTTTTACCTAAACAGCGTTTTTTATTGTAAATGATATTTTAACTATAACGGACAAGGGCGCTTCGACATTTCCCGCCAAAATTAAGTCAAATAGAAATTATAACAAAAGCTGAGTTTGTCATTAGAGCAACTGTTTTTTTTGTATTTTAGTGTAACCGACAGAATCAATATTAAAAATGTAAGCGACCATACTGGCTATATCACCACAACCGACATAAGGCCCAATTTATCAACTCGGATCTGATTGGAAGCGAATTGTTGTGCACAGCATAATGAACTTTATGGTCAATCGTGTAATGTACAAACTAGATACGAGCCAAAAATCACGTCGCGCGTCTTCCGCCGAGTTCCGCAGCTGCCGTCGATGACGCCTGGCGAATCCGTGGAAAATGGCGCAAAGCCAGGCGCAGCGTGCCGTCGAACTAACTGTAACTGCCTCCGTGGCCGAACGGTTACCATGCCGAACTGCCACGCAGAGGTCCCAGGTTCGATTCCCGGGCCGGGAGAAATATTTGTATGGCCTACAATTATTTCTCTCGTGAGTTTGGGTGTAATTTGTGGTTGTCTATGTGTGTGTCCATGGCACCCGCGACACAGGGTTTCCCTAGTGCGGGGCTATGTTGAGTGTGTGCGTTAAAAAAAAAAAATAATAAAAACCGGAAACCGGAAAACCGGAACGTCCACGAAATACTACTACTACTACTGCCTCAAGGCGCAGTCGAATGTTCGAGTACTTCAGCGAGCGACCGCGCGTTCTCTTGCAGCGAGGCGAAATTGAAGCTTAAACGCCTGTAAGCCTAAAAATCTTTAGAGATAGAGTCAGCAAAAATATTCTAGGCGCCAAAAAAGGCTTAACATCAATGGTTTTAACAAAAATTTCCTGTCTAACACAATCGGTTACAATAGTTACTTGTTATGCAAGGCTGCAAAGTTGTTGTTTGGCGCAAGGATTGTATTGAAACCTGAGCAAGAGAAGGAGTATAGGATTGAACCATGAGCGAAGCGAGTGGTTCAAAAATAGTAACCTGAGCGAGCGTTTGACGGCACGAGACGTGAAACAACTTTGCTGCCGAGCGACCCACACAACATTTCACCTCACTATAGCGAGGAAAATAGTAGATGAAAGAAAAATAGAAACTATAAAAAATCAGTTTTAATAAACAAAATTAGTTATCGTTGTCAATTTAATGTCAACAACAATAAGAATAAAATATACCAACGGATATATATTACATAAATAATGTACAAATCGCGTAGTTGAACGTGTTATTATGTTTTTTTTCATCGAAAGAAAAAGTTGAATGCACCACAGTCCATGGTCAAGTCCGAATTTCAAAAACCTTGCAATTGCAAAAATCGCTTTTGCGCGCAGATTTCTAATGATATTATATAAATAATAATATTTCTAATAAAGATATTTTTTATTTTAAAATTAGATTTTTATGGTGCACTGATGTAGATAAAGATCATGTTGATAATGACATAGGTGAGCCAGAGGCTTTTAAATTTAGAAGTATTCTAACTTCATCAGCCTGCGGCTGTAATATAACTGCCGCTATAGTAATTTATCCCGTCAGTTTTATAGGATAATGACAGTTCTGCGCGACAGTGAACCGTTGGCGCTCCAAGGCATAGCGTACGTTCTTTTGGGACCAACCCGCAGCATACTTCATGTGGCGAGATAAACAACAACGGAAATACGTTGATCAGATTTTTTGGAATCTACACTGCTCTAGTACAATAATATTGTATTTATCCCGAACATTTTCAAGTATTTTAAATATGCACTTTTCAAATACATATATTAGGGAAAATGCATAGAAGTGTACCTAATTGGTTGATAATTATTTATATAATTACGAGGTTTACACATTGAATAATAGGAACAATTTTTCGGTTTGTAATCGCGTACGTTTTGGTTTCATTGCAGGTCCCATGGTTAGTCGTAAACTGAGATAGTAAACTGGCAGTTATACACTCCCGGACACATATTTCGAGCCACCTTGCATTTTTAGTATTAAATGCCCTAAGCTTAAAAAATATGTTTGATTGATCAAAAACTATTAATGCAATTTTGAAGTTGGTTTACTAAACGTCATTCCGTATGTACTTGTTGAAAATTTGATTTTGTGAAACCAGGGAAAAACGAGTTTAAGGGTCGTATTCCAGAACTCTACTCAATACTGAAGTCAGGACTTGAGTATTGCAGTGAGCACTGAAAATCATACTCAAGTCTTTGCCATTAGGGTCGTATTCCAGAACTCTACTCAATGCTCAAGTCAGGATCTGAGTATGATTTCAGGCACTGGAAATACGACAGTAATGGCAGGGACTTGAGTATGATTTCGAGTGCTTTTAACCATACTCAAATCCTGACTTGAGCATTGAGTAGAGTTCTAGAATACGACCC